GGCCATATTTTTTATCGAGAAAAAAAATTGAATATACCATTGCTCACGATTTTTCGTCCTCTTTCCATAGGGATCCATGTTGATATATAAAAAGCGAATTTTTTTTTCGAAAAAAAAATCACTTCAATTTGTTATTTTTTTTTTAATATTTAAGTTTATTTTTATCCAAAAAAAAACTAATTATACCAAAAATATTAATTTTTGTACTCTATTAATAAACATCAACACTGATTAAAAAAAAACTCGATCAGTGTAGATTCACACTGTGAATCTAAACTGTAAATATGTCAATTTTTAACATTCACAATGTGAAAAAGCTCGATCAGTTTAGATTCACACTGTGAATCTAAACTGTAAATATTTCAATTTGTAACATTTACAATGTGAATTTGACTTACTATTTTAACTCTTTGATCATTCGCAAATTAACTTAGTGAAAATTTACTATTATTCACACTGTGAATCTGAGCAGGTTCATAATGTGAATCGGAACAAGTTCGCAATGTGAATCTGACTTACTATTATTCACACTGTGAGTCAGAGCAGTTTCACAATGTAAATCTGAATAAGTTCGCAATGTGAATCTGAACAGGTTCACAATGTGAATCTGAACTGAAATATCGATTTTTTTTATAATATCAATATGAATCTATGTTTAAAGAGTACCAAAAAGTATGAATTTTGATATATTTATTAAATTTTTTCTATAAAAAATAGACATTAACTTTTCAATAAACAAAAGAAAATGAAGTGGTTTTTTTGAAAAAAAAAATCATTTTTTATATATCAATATGGATCTCTATGGAAAGAGGACGGAAAATGCTGAACAATGATATATTCGGTTTTTTTTTATAAAAAAGATAGCCTAAAAAAATTAAACTAAAAAAGGAAATGAGTTTTTTTATAATCATATGCATGTGCATCCATTGTAAAAGTCAACAACCCTTCCTTTTGTCGTTGATCGTTTTAAATTCCGACGCTTTGGATTGGTTCCTTGTATATATATATATATATATATATATATGTCACCGGCTTGGCACCGTCTAACTGAGGGCGGAAATGAAGAGCCTGTGGATCACAACAAAGAAGAAGGGATTTTCAGTCGTCGTTTGGGATGTTATCCCGGAACGAGGCTCCGACGATCAAGTCAGTGAGGGTCTGAGAGAGAGGGTTGATGTAGAAAGAGAGTATTCAAGGGTTAGAGAGCTTGACCCCTTAGGGGGAACAGATCACCGACAGTATCTTCTACCTTTTCAGATTTGGCAGGGGCTGATGACTTTTGATTGGAGGATCGTATTCTATGAATGGTTGTTTACTATTGGTGCAAACTCTGCCAGAAGCGGCGTCCGGATCACTACACCTGTCGCTCTGGGGAACTCTTGGTACTATTTTGTCAACAACGTTACCCTTGGCGCTTGGGCGCCAAGGAACGGATACGGGGTCTCGAAGGCGAGGGCGAAGGCCCGACGTTACTCACGCGTTGCTCCTTGGCCGATCTGTCTGTTGACCTAGTGATTCCAATATCTTTGACGGATTCCTGGTAGGATACGTCAACAAGTCCCCTAGGCTAGTAGACGTCAGCATTGGCTTAGGGTAGTTATGTTATTCTAGCTTGGATCTGTACACATGTTCGACGAGGATGGATTCTGATGACTACTGATGTGACGGAGGCGTGTTCGTAGACGGTTTTCATCATTGTAACCGGTTAGGCTTCCCGTCTGCATTTAAAACTTCCCCATTTGAGCCGAACTTCGTTTTCCTGGTTCTTTTCTCTTTTGCTGCTTCTTTTCATTTCTTCTCCTGTTTCTACTTCTTCAACGAACCATGTCTAGCTTGAATACCGGGATTGTTCCTTCTTCAGGCAACTTCGCCGCTCTTCAAAGTGGTTTAGTTTTCTTCCCGAGCACGACGTGGAGTATCCTCGAAAGGGGGCGATAATTTCTCGTCCACCGGAGGGGAAGGTCGGGGTCCCTATTCTGATATTCGAGGTCGGTCTGAGGCTGCTGACAATGGATTTCTTTGACGAGATAATGCGCAAATATGGATTTCATGTGGACGATCTGACTCCCAACACCGTCAACAAGATCGTCGGCTTTGAACTCGTTTGTCGTGCCCTTGGAGTTATGCCACATTTTTTGGCCTTCAAATCTTTCTTCAACTCTTCTACATAATTCGGTGTTTGGACCTTTTCCTAAAGGCGGGGTGTTCATGCCTTCAACATCAATCAAAAATCTCTGAAGAAGAACTGCCAGGATCGTTGGCTCTGGGTGAATCGCAATCTTGTGGGTTTTGGTTATCCTCGCTTGACTACTTTTTCTGATCGAGCGTCGGAACTGTTTGGTGCCAGCACCACTGTGGCACAAGCACTGAAGACCATTTGTTTTAACGACGAGGATTGGAAAGACCACGTGCTTGCTGCAGTTGGGATGAGTGCTGCCTGGAGGACCCGAGGGATGATGCCCCAGTTCTACATTGAGAAAGACGGTAATCACTTCTCCTTGCCCCTTTCTTTGATATACTCTCGCTTATGAATTGTGTAAAATGTGTTTGGATTTTTCCTTGCTTGCAGGTCATTAGAGGATTCTTCCCTTCGAGATGGTATTGAGGGTCCGTTTTCAGGGCACTCTACAATATCCGGAGGTGCCCTTGGTTGAGACACTTCCTCTGCTGGTTAGTCTTGACCATGCCTTAGCTGTTAACAATCCTTCATTCGTTCCTCTGTCTGGGTCCTATTCTCCTGTTGGTGAGGTGCTGGTTGATGCACCTGATGGCGGTGTTTCTCGTGAATACCCCCGCCTTCTGATACTGAGGGGGAGGAGCCATCAACTGGGCTAATCCATCGCATGACTCATGCGGCGAATTTCCTGCATGGATTTGCCACAGGTGGAGCCTACCGAGGCCGGCTCTTCAAGACAAAGCCTTCTAAATAGGCAAAACATGGACATCCTTCTGGGGGAAGACATAGTATTTGTGGATATCCCCGATTATAACACTCCGAAATAGTCGGAGGGGATGAAGGAAGGGGCAACAGAACCGCCCCGTGAACCCAAGGAAGAACCGGTGGATATTGCCATTGAAAGCAATTTCGATGTGCAGCAGGAAGCCAGTCATGGAGGTGCTTCCAGCTCGCCAGTTTTGCTTTTGGCTGGGGGAGACCCTGCTGAGGGCTCTGTTCCTGTTCTTCCGGCGGCGCTGACCGTGTATGTGCCCGGGTGGGGGATAACTCGGGAGTCTGTCCTTTCCCAGCAGACGGTGGCCTACGATTAGGGCCATCATGCTTTCCCCCACCACTATCGAGGCCTTTGATCTTCTCTCGAATGCTCATCTTTCTAATAGCCTCTTATATGCGGCTGCCCAGGTTGGTTCATATATGGTTGCCACTGCATCTTGCCTTCGTCAGGGCGATTCCAGTTCTGGCGAGCTCATTTAGATCAGGGTTGAGCGGGATGAGTTGAGGGCAAAGCTGCTGGTGTTAGAAGGGGAGAAGTGTCTGTTTGATGAGTGTTATGATCTCCTGGCGGGGGAGAAGGAATCTCTGGAGGATAAGGTCGCTTCTTTGGACGGGTCAGTGGAGCATTTCTCCCAGTGTATCGAGATGTTGGTGGAAGAGAATATGTTGTTAGAGGATCAGGTGGACCGTGCTAACAAGCAGTTGGGGGAAGAGGTGGCAAAGAGGAAGAGCGTGGAGGATGTTCTAGGGTGGCTGCTTCAGAAAGGAATTGTATATGTGGTGAACGAGGTGGTTGAAAGTTATGATTTTGCGATGGGAGTGAAGCAGATGAAGATGGCGTGCATGGCCGCCGGTGTGGAGAATGGCAAGCAGGAGGTCCGAGGAACATGTCATTGTTCGGAAGTTTCTCCCCTGGGAGGCATTTGCTACCACGGAGCATATTTAGTCAGTACACGCTGCTGTGAAAGCATTTATGGACATGGACTTTGCCTCCTACCTCCGCCTGGGCGAGCTCGACATGGCAGGCCTTCGGTAGTTGTGTGATGACTCTGACGCCGAGGATAGTCAGGTCGCAGGTGGCTCTTCTCATGCTAGTGCTTCCCCTGGTAAGTGATGGCTTCTATTTCCTCTTTGAATATTTTGAGAACAATGTTTGTGTTTGTTTGGTACTTAAACAATGCTTCAGTGCTTTTCTTTGGGCCTGCGTGGTCTTTATGCAAATCTCGGGGGTTGTCCGGGTAGACAATTTATCTTATGTATGTTAAATTCTCCTTCTTTTGGTCTGTTATACTATCGTTTTGTGCTTTCCTTGTGTTTGGTGGTTTATGTTGGCCATGTTTGGCTTGAATTCTTCTCAGAGGCTAGTGTCTCCCTTTTGGGGGTGGTTGTTATTTGTTTTGACAAGTTTTGGTGATCAAGAGCATCTGAGCCTATTGTTTGTCCTTTGGCCTAACCTCATTGTGTGAGGCTTTGGCTGGCTTTTAGGTGCGGGCGCTAGTTAGCCTGCTTCATTGGAATGTCCATTTTTTTAGCTAAAGGACTTATTTTGGGGCCTTTGTCTATGCCCCGGGCCAAAGAGAGTTGCACTCTCACCTTTGTTATCTGAACCAGACCGAGATCGTCACCATGAAGTCTGGGAGTTTATATGTTTCGAGGGAAAGGTTATGATCCTTTAAATCCTCTTGTTTGTCATGGTCAGGAGTTGCAGCTCTACTGACCTTGTTGACATGTTTGTTAGGGGGAAATTATGAGCCCTTGAGGCTTACAACTGTGTTTTCCTCCATGACTTTATTGTTATGCGGCATGGGTGATCAGCCAATTTTTGTTTGTCGTTTATATGAAAGTATATTGATATTTGTTCATTCTAAATTTTCATTGCATATATATTTTGTGCGATGTCTTGTAGACACCTACATCATTTAGGTGGGTATCTGTTTTTCAATAGCCGATGCTATTCTACTTCTAGGTCTTGTACTGGCTAGTTGGGGTGTGATTATCCGGTGGGAGTTTGATCACATAGCCCCTTCTCCTGGTTCCTTCAAAGCTAGAATCATTGGCTTGGGCCTTGGGGCTCCCAGGTCATGGCGATGAGTTCTTCTTCTTCTTGGTTCTTCTTGCTCTGTGCCTTTCCTGTGCTTACAAGTTCTCCGATGTTTGCATTCACGTGGCTGGCTATTTCTGGGACAATCATCCTTCGGAAGATGATTTTCAATTTCTTCCATTCTCTAGTGTCGGTTTCTTGGTTAGTATCTTTGGGAGGTTTCATGTCATCTGGTGTTGTGTTGTTGCTATTGATTCTGTTTTTAGCGGGGTTTTGGACCAGGTGCCGTCTTGGGAAAGCTTTTGCCAATTGCCGGCTCTTGCCGTTGCTGGCAGCCTCCTGTCTGTATCTTCTTTTGCAGGGTAGTTCCCTGTCTTTCCCTCCCCGACTTTCGCGGTTTCTTGTTTTTATTCTCTGTCAGGCTTCCGCTTCATACCTTGTGTCTTCACTTCGCGAAGTGTGTGGGCATGCTTATTTGTATCCAGCCCTTCTTGGTGTTCATACTGACAATACGCGATCTATCTGGCGTGGTAATACTCTTGCTACCGCACCCTTCCCCCGGACTATATGCCCGAGGCTTGTGCTTGTTCTTCTTATCGGGGGTGTGGGCATCTTTCCTCTCCTCTTTAACCATTTTGAGTGAGAGTATCATGGTCTGAATTCTTTTTGGGATCCGTGCGGTGGCCCACGCCGCGATTGCCCGGATTGGCCTTGCTTGTGTGTTAATGGTTGTGACCGTTGCTGAACCTTTGGTTGTTTTGAACTTGAACGCGCCATGTATTGTCGATGGGATAACTTGTAATTGAAAAAGAGCTGGTCGCCCAAGGATGATATCGTTATCGGATCTTTGCTTGACTACCAAGAACTCAATTATCCTGGTTACTTGTTCCTTCCCATCGACGCTAACTTTAGTCAATGGTAGGTTTATGGTGTCGATTGACTTGTGTCCCATGAAGCCAATGAGTGGTGCCTGGGCTGGGGGTTTCAGGTTCCTTCTCCAATATGGTGGGAGTTGCTTGAAACAGTGTTCGTAAAGGATATTGATGCTGCTACCTCCGTCGACTAAGTCTCGCTAGGTCTTCTGTTGTATGACCATGGCGGGGATTATGATTGGATCTAATGGGTCCCAGTCGTACACTCGCGGGTCTGATGGCTAGAAACTGATGTTTAGAGTGTCTCCTGGAGGGGTTGCATCACCTTTGGCCCGCCGTTGGTACTTGTCATGATCTTTGCGTCTCATTATTGTGAAAATCTCCTCTTTTTTGATTGGTTTTTTGCCTACTTCCTTGCGGGTTCTCCCATATTTTTGGTCATCTTCGAACTTTGACCGTAGGGTCCTTGCTATTTCTGTTAGGCCTCCTTTCAATTGCTTGTCCGCTACTTCTCTTTTGAGTATCGTGCATTCTTTGGTGTCGTGTGTTTTGCTTTTGTGGTATTCACAGTATTTGTGTTTTTCCTTCTCCGTCCGCTGTGGGCTTCTTTCTACGGTGTGTACTTCCGACTTGTGGCTCCTCGGATCGTCTTTGTCGAACGGGCAAAATCTGCGGGAGGAATGTCTCGAATGTCTGCTTTGTTTGTCGTGGTTTTCATCGTTGCGCTATTTATGAAACATCCAGAAATACGGTCCAAAAATTTCGTTTTGATTATTTATAAAAACCATAAATATCATTTGTCATTTGACAAAAACATAATTAATATATCTAAAATCATCATAATAAAATATTGTATCAAAATCGTGTGCCAAATATCAAAGTCTAAACATCCCAGACTAAAAGCTGTGGTGTGTGCCATACAGTCATCCCGAGCTCTTCCCCTTGCTAGCGGAAGTACCTGAAACCAAAACTGAAAACTGTAAGCACGAAGCTTAGTGAGTCTCCCCAAACTACCACATACCATATACATAATCACGTAATAACATACATTGGGCCTTGCCCGCTACATCGGGCCCCGCCTGTAATCGGACCGAAGTCCATCATCGGCCCCGCCGGCATCGGGCCCCGCCCGACATCGAACCGAAGTCCGACATCGAACCGAAGTCCGACATCGAACCGAAGTCCGCCTGGTATACATATGACATATCATCCAACATATAACATAAACATATAAACATTCCTCGGGCTTACCCCGACATCGGACCGAAGTCCGGAACACATAACAAACACATGTAAGAATCACGAAGACATCAAGCGTACAAACATTCCTCGGGCTTGCCCCGGCATCGGACCGAAGTCCGAAAACATATAATCTACATCGGGCTAGCCCTGACACCAGACCCAAGTCCGATATAAGCTAACATACATAAACGGGCCGACATTGGTGCCTTAGACCCATTTCCACTAGAGGAAAACTCACCTCTCAAGCTGCCTGCTGATGGCCCATTTCAGCCTAACATCTGCTAAGCCCAAAGATTGGCCCAAACCGAGGCCCAAATGTCGTAAAGCCCAAAATCTGAGAGTATGCTGAGCGTACTCTTCTGTACGCTACGCGTATAGCTTGCATGGATGGTACGCTGCACGTACTGGCGTGTACGTCCAGCGTACTACTATGTTAAGCCATTTTCTTCAAAACTGCTTAATCCCTCAAGACACTAAGTCTAAATTACAGATCTGAGTCTAATAACCCGTCTTAACCCATAAAGTTGATTACTTGGTGGCTTGCAACCCACCAAGTGAGACCAAACTTGGAAAATAGCAACTAACTTTCATGAAAATGACTCCAAACTCATGCATGGTCATCAAAGGACCTTAAAGATCGAGACTTTACTACTTATGGGACATGAATATCACTGAGAGTGGCACCTCTTGGCCTAGAAACGAACTTGAGTCATGAAGGTGCATTCTTGGAACTAAAAAGACCCCAAAAACAAAACTACACTAGATCTAAGCATTCAAAAAGAAAGTTGAAAGCTTTATACCTCCAATGAGTCCCAAAAGCTGATGTTATCCTGGATCTATGAGCTCAAGATACTCAAGTTCCTCTTCACTATCTTCTCCTTCCTTCTTTCAAGCTTCTAATCTCCAAACAAGCTTCACAAGGCTAAAACACACACAAGAATGAGAAAGAGAGGCTATGTAGGATTTCTGAGAATGAGGGGCTGGTAAGGAGGCTAGGGTTTGAGTCATAATGTGGTATTTATATGGCTTAAACCCTAAAAATTAGGGTTTTGGAATATGCTCATGTACGATGCACGTACTCCTTGGTACGTTGTGCATATGTGCATGCGTCCCCCGCATCCAATGCTTCTCTACGCCCCGCGTATACCAAGGCTACGCCCAACGTACGTCTTATGGGCGACCCAAGTATTCGGCCCACTTACTAAAGGTCCACTCAAATAGTCCTTCTATTAACACTTCGCCCAACAATTAATTAAGAAAATATTTAATAATTATTACCTCAAGTGACGGTCGTTACAATTCTCCCCAACTTAAATCAGATTTCGTCCTCAAAGTCCGTTGCATCCGGGAACAACTCCGGGTAGTGCTCCCTTATCTCCTCCTCGGGCTCCCTGGTCCACTCCGAGGCTTTGCGGTGCTGCCACTGCATGTTCACCAGCTCAACCCTCTTGTTCCTCAGCTCCTTCGTCTTTCTATCGAGAATAGATACTGGTCTCTCGATGTAGTTCAGGCTATCATCAACCTGAATATCCTCTAAAGGCACAACCGCTGAATCATCTACTAAGCACTTCCGCAACTGACAAACATGGAAAGTGCTGTGGATATGGCTGAGCTCTGCTGGAAGATCCAATCGGTACGCTACCTTGCCCACCCGGGCTATAACCATGAAAGGGACGATATACCAAGGGCCCAGCTTGCCCCGCTTCTAGAACTGGATGACACCTTTCCAAGGTGAGACCTTTAGGAGGACGATGTCCCCGACCTGGAACTCCAGGTCTGATCGGCGTCTGTCGGCGTAGCTCTTCTGCCGACTCTGATCAGTCTGAAGCCTGCACCTGACCTGTTGAATCCTTTCCGTCGTCTGGAGTACCACCTCGGTACTCCCCATGACCCTTTGACCGACCTCGCCCCAACAGATTGGGTTCCTACACTTCCTCCCGTAGAGCATCTCGAAGGGAGGTCGGTCTATGCTGGCGTGGTATACGAAAATTCGGCTAACGGAAGATACGTATCCCAACTGCCATCGAAATCCAAGACACATGCGTGTAGCATGTCCTCGAGAGTCTGTATCGTCCTCTCGCTCTGTCTGTCCGTCTGAGGGTGGAAAGCGGTGTTGAAGTGGAGACGAGTACCCATCTCGTCATGAAACCAATTCCAGAATCTGTAAGTGAAATGGACATCTCGGTCTGACACCTCCGAGACAGGCACTCCATGTCGTGCCACTATCTCACGCACGTAAATCTCAGCCAGCTTCTCAGCCGATATGCTCTCCTTGATTGGGATAAAATAAGAACTCTTGGTCAACCGATCCACGATGACCCATATCGAATCAACCCCACGTGCGGTCCTGGGAAGCTTAGTGATGAAATCCATAGTGATATCTTCCTATTTCCACACGGGAATGTCAAACGGCTGCATCTTGCCGTGGGGCGTCTGGTGCTCTGCCTTGACCTTCCTGCAGGTCAAGCATCTTTCAACGTACCAGACTACATCCCGCTTCATGTAGGGCCACCAGTAATCAGGACGAAGATCTCTGTACATCTTCGTCGCCCCATTATGAATGGAGAACCTCGAATTATGGGCCTCATCCATCAGAACCTATCGTACTTAGCTCCAGTACGGAACCCAGACCCTCCCATGCAGGGTCAGCAACCCACGACTATCATAATCAAATGAGGCCACTCGGCCTACGATCCGCTCACACTTCTAGCTCTCTTCCTTTAGGCCCTTTACCTTCGCCTCTCTGATCTGCTCCAATAATGGAGTCATCACTGTCATCCTCAGACAGATGTCTCAAATCGGGGCCGCTACCGCCTTGTGGCTCAGGGCGTCGGCCACCACATTGGCCTTTACCGGGTGGTAAAGGATATCATAGTTGTAGTCCTTCACCATATCTAACCATCGTCGCTGCTCATGTTCAGATTCAACAGATCCATGAGGTACCTCAAACTCTTGTGGTCCGTGTAAATTGTACAACGGACCCCATAGAGGTAATGTCGCCAAATCTTGAGGGCGAACACCGCAACCCCCAACTCTAAATCGTGCGTCAGATAGTTAGCCTCGTGAGGCTTCAACTGCCTCGATACATAAGCTATCACGTGACCCCGCTGCATCAATACTGCTCCCATGCCTGTGATCGAAGCATCACAATAAACTACGAAGTCATCAAATCCCTCTGGCAAAGACAAAATCGGTGCCTCGTGCTGGCTAATGGTCTCGAAGGCTGCCTGCTACTCAGGCCCCCAGCAGAATGTCACCGACTTCTTTGTCAGTCGGATCAGGGGAAGGACGATCTTGGAGAAATCCTTGATGAATCTACGGTAATAACCTGCTAGACCAAGAAAACTCCGAATCTCAGTTGGAGACCTCAAAACCTCCCACTGCATCATGGCCTCTATATAGGCCGGATCGACCAGAATACCCTTCTGGTTGACAAGGTGCCCCAGAAACTGCACCTCTCACAACCAGAACTCACACTGAGAAATTTGCGAAAAGTCTCTCCCTCCTCAGTGTCTCCAGCACCTCCCTCAGGTGCTCC